TCATGTTGTGGTGACCCCCCAACCATAAAATTGGTGTCTCGGTTCCTAAGACCATTGAAAATATGTGTTTTCCGATGGTCTTAGGCAACCCCTGTGAAAGGGTCGTTCAACCCCCAAAGAGGTCCTGACCCACAGGTTGAGAACCACTGATCTAAAGGTTCTATAGTCTCCAAGAAGCCATCTTGCTTTCAGTACCAACTCTGGACAGGTTATATAAAGGCTTGTTTTAGCTCAAAATGCCCACAAGCATAGAAACATCTCCCAATACCCCACCCCACCTAACATGATATACCAGAAGAAAGCAAGTACTACTGGATGGGTGTTCCCAACTGCAGTATCTTAGCAGATACACAATTCTCACAAGTACAATTCCTAACAGTCTTCCCTTCCCAGTTCAGAATCAGAAAGAAAAGGCAATGATTTGTTCTGGCTCTATGGGGAAACAAATTTTAAGCATCTTCTCAGTATTGCAACTAGAATGGTAAGATGGGTCACGTAAAGTTCTTGAGACAGGAAAAAAGCCTCTGGATCATCATTTTCATCATAGACTATATGAATGATAATGATCAAGATTGCTGATACATTGCACTGTAAAGAGTCAAACCAAAAAACCCACAACCATTATCATTTCCATTTAGCAGATGGAGGGAAGGGTTGTTGACTCCTGAGTGCATCTCTGCTCTGCAAGTTCCAGAATGGTGGCAATGCAGAGATGAGTCTTCACTGAGGTGGTGCCAATTCTGGGGAATGACATCCCCTCAGTGATACAAACTGATTATATTATATTGGGTACCAATGCATTCCCTGAATGTGACAAACAACAGTGTAGAAATAAAGATGATTTACCAAAGCAAACACCACGGTGTGGGACAAAGGCTTTACAGGCTGCTGCAATAGCCAATTCAGCTGAAATTACTGTCTTAATTATCAGTTCCTCCACGCTGGACATCAAAGCTAAGATAAAAATGGGACAGAAATCAAAAGCAATAATGTTAATATTTTAACAGTGAAAACAAAATTTAGCTTAAGATGCAAAATGATGTCCCCTGATCTTTACAACTACACAACATTTAATCCTTTTATTGAATGAGTTTGGCATATGTAGCATGTGTTTTGGAGACATTTATCTGACTTTTTCATGTTGTCTATACCTTTTATTGTACTTATTTACCTTATTCCATTTGTAGTTCACTTTTTGTATTGCAAGCTGCCTAAAATTGGTTTGAGTCAGGTGGTGTCAAAATCAAAACAACTAAACAAATTTGGAACTCTTTTTACTGATTTGAAATATTTTATGCATCTTAAATATGTTTTATTTAAAAGACTCTGAAATGGTTTATAGAAATAAAACTTTGGTTTTTATCAAATGTTTAAAGAAGGCATAACATATTCATTTTCTAGTTTATTCCAAAAGTCTCTTCGTGAAAAAATATTCCACAATTTAAGCTTCTAATGTTTTCAAACTGTCAAATAGATTTTGCTCTATTTTTTGCTATGCCATGTCCATCAATTAGTGATCCTGAACACTGTAAGCTATTAAAGGAAAGTATGATCCCAGGTGACTGGCAGAGGAAAATTTTCTATAACAGTCTCTGTACATTCTATAAAGTAGAGGAAGGAAAAATTGAGTTTTTGGATCTATTTGGGCTTTTGAGTTCCACCAGTTGGAGCAAATTATCAAAGGGGTGGTGGTGGTAATACAAGAGACTTCCACTTTTCAGTAAGAATCAGGTTATCTTGGAGAACATGCCTATAAAAATTGATTTCATGATCAGAAGCAAACTTATGGTTCCCATATAAAAAGTACTTTTGGTCCTCTCTACAATGATCTTATTTACAACAAAAATAAATATATTTCTTACTATTCTTGAATTATCTACATTCAGAAATGCTCATGGATATACTGAAGATCCTCCAAAGTTGACTTGGTTTAAGATCAAATACCCATTCTTCAGTCTTATGACATTCTTTCCCACATACAGTAGATATCACAGAAACTGAATCTTCAACATTCTCTTTCATACATTTCCATTTCATATGAGTTCGCAAGCATGTTTAAAAATGTTCATCTTAATTAATTGGTCTCAAGTAGACATAGAGTTAATTCCATACTTAAGATGTGCCAATGAAAGTCACATTGATAAATATTTTTTTTAGAAAAGATAATGAACAAGGACATATTTTGTCAGACAAGTCTTCTGTCACCACTGATAACAGTAAATGCTGCAAACTAATTATTTCAGAGACAGGTTGAAATTTCAATTGTCAATTAACCATGCTATCAATAGACCAATCAAATGTGAAGAACATAAGATCCCCTACAGAATATAAAATTCTTGAATGAAAGGCATTCACTAAAGAAGTCACTGTTCAAAGGAAAGTGCTGTTAGAAAAGACAATTACAGTTCCAAACAGAAATACACAGCAAAGAAAAATAAGAACTTATCAAAAAGACACATTCGGAGAAAAATAAGATAAGAGATTATTGTCCAGAAGAAGTATGGTAGTCAAAGTAGACAAAAAGAACTGTTAGGAACAGTTTCAGATAATTATATAATTAAATCTACTAATATTTATGAAGAACAGACAGTTTGGTTCAATAGTTAAGGTACCAGGGTAGAAACCGGGAGATTATAAATTCTGGTCCCATCTTAATTACAAAGGCCAACTAGGTGACTTTCAGCCAATCACTTTAGGAAGCAAGCAGAAACAAACTACTCCTGAAAAGGTTACTAAGAAAACTGTAGAGACTTGTCTAGGTGCCAAGGATCAACACTGACTCAAAAGGACAAAAAAATAAAAATGAAAAGGTGTTCTAAAGATAATTCAAGGAAACAGTAATAGATATCTGCTCACCAGTTGTATCTTTTCCTTCTTGTTTCAGGTATCTCAGCATTGCACTCATACTCCATTTGTTTCCATAATCCTCTACTTCAGGATCATCACAACTAAAACATAAGAAATACCTTTTATCCTGACCACCCTGATGGAATTCTACCTCCAAATTCTGCTTGGTTAATTCATATTTTCATATATTGTTTGACTGCACTTAATAACTGCTTTAAGACACTTTTGTTTTAACACAACACAAAATAATTAAATAAATACAGAAATAGACTTTTATTTCCAATTCAGGCTCAAGAACTCTTAAAGAAATCTAAGTACCTGACATAGTCACCACTCTTTTTGTTGACACTATAATTTGTAAGATGCATGAATTGGTTTTTAATATTCTTTGATCCCTGGTCATACCTCACAGTTGCAAACCTAAAAAACAAAATGGACATAACAACCTTTAATCAAAATAAAACTGGCATTTTTTTTCAGCTGACGTTTCTGAGTTAGCTTCAAAGGTAGCCTGATGTAGACCATGCTGAAGTAATCTACAAATGAAGTGACAAAATCATAAATCACATTTGTCAGGGCATTCTGGTCCAAAAAAGCCTACAACTGGTGAGTCAACCGAAGCAGAGCTCCTTCCTGGCTATAGCTTCCAGCAGATGCAAATGCATGAGGTTCGTCACCATCACCAAATCTCAAATTTTCAGGTCAAGCATAAGAGAGTCAAAATTGAAACCAAAATAAAGCCAGACCAATCACCAACAAAGTGCAGCTCCACCTTGCAGGGATTTAATCTGACTATAGGATGTCTCTCATTAGTGTAGTACAGTGTAGTACTAAAGTAGGAGTTGGGAGACTCGGGTTCTAACCCTTCTTTCGGCATGGAAGTCAGCTTGGTGACCTTGGGCCAGTCACTTCCTCTTAGTTCAGATCAGCACCAGACTCTGCAATAAGTCAGCTGAAAAACCCGCATCATACATCAACAGCTTCATTGGAAGAACTACAGAGAAGGCAATGCAAGCAGGACCTGTAACCAGGTGGGACAAACACTAAGTACTACTAATACTACTACTACAATAGGATGGTTGTTACCATTAGACATGGGCGTTCAGCAGATTGAGT